TGGTTAGTCGTTTTTCAGTCTAATTAGTTTATTGGCTGCAAGCAAGACTGGAGGTGTTGAAATAGGCTTTCCTTTCAAGAGAAGATGAGAGAGCTAATTAACTAAATTAGCCTGACACATAGCTTTCCTTAACAGGAGTGAAAATCTTTCTGCATGTTAGACCAGGGTAGCAAGGGATGATTACCCATTATATACATTGCAAACGTCAAATTATTTAAGAAAAAGACATTGTAATCCGTCAGTCTGGGGTACAAATAATTTACAATTCTCCAATTAGAAAATGTTTTTTTAATCTCTGAGGGTACAGATAGATAAAAGCTGAATTGGTTTAAAATTTGAAGGTAAAAACAGCTCATCTAAGAAACCTTAAACGCTGTAATAAACAGACATTAAATTTTGATGCATCAGTATTTTATTACTTACTTTTTGAAGAATGAAATGGGAATCTGCCTTCCCTTCGGTGGTTATATGTAGGGTAAAATTGTGACTTTGATTCTTTATAGGGATATTTACTTGTCTCCTATAACAACCAGATGCCTTGTGTTGAAAAACTGATAATCTGAAGCACAACAAGCCCCCAGTGATCTTTGAAGGAAGATATTTCTTCATTTGTCTTAGTGATTGGCTTATCTCAACAAATCAAAAATCAAACAGGGTCATCTATTTGAAAAATGGCTTTGCAATTAGCAGCAAATAAATCATACTTTAATCCTTTTTAATTGACCAGGTGGTTTGTATTTTACTTGAGATGAGTTCTTGAGGATTGTTTGGAATTACAACCTAACAAAAGAGATGAAAATTTATATTAAAAATAGCTATACAAACTTAGTGTGACAAGAAAATACACACTTTGTGCATATCTTTCATATCAGATTGGGGTCTTTAACACTGGCACCTGGGGACCCACTGTCCTGGACATTTAGCTTCTTTCACCTGCCTCAACTTAAATAAATGGGTGATTAACTGACCTCTGAAGCCCATGACTGCTGAGGAAGTAATGCCACCATTTGTTTCAGGTGTAGTGCAGCAGAGACACACATCTAACACATGCAAGACAATGGGTCCTGGGCTGAAGACCTCTGTTTTCGTACATTTCAGAGCAGCCCCATCTGACTTAGTGTTCGACTCCCTTGGTAGTCTGGGGAGTTTAAAGCACTGAGGGGATCGATTCATCTAATTATAACAAAGATACCCAAACACTGGTCCTCTGGGAAAGTCTCCTGCAATTTTAGTTGTGTCTGTGGTTTAATGCAGCTTAATTAATTGGTAAGTCATTATCAGGATTCAGCCACATGTAGCAGGATATCGGCCCCCCAAGTTCAACAACTTTGTTTGGCTAAAGTTGATTTGTTTGAATTTTTCTCTCACAGGCTTGTGAGGCTCCGCCCCTTCTCGCACTGACTCCTCATTCACATAGACCATCACCTGTGTTTCCTCCATTATATCCTAAATGAATGTCATTCAACAATACAGTAATTCCCACCAGCTTTGTGGAGCTCCTGCATGCTTCTCCCCTTAGTTGGCTATCAGCAATTCAGATCGAGCCTATTTCTGATGGATAATGTATAAACATGACAGGTAGTCAGTGTAAAGCTGGCCAAACAGTTTAGTGGGGCATTTCAGACTTCTGAAATTTGTCCCTAACAAGTGCGGTCTATGCAGACCTTGTAAAACTGGTCAGTGTTTCTCCAACTTTAATCAAAACATCTTATGCTTAATTTAAAAAAGTAAAATGAAAAAGTCTCTGAATCTTTGGATGTGGTTAAAATGTCATTAATGTTGCAAAATTAGGAAACCTTTTAATGCTTTTAATGAGGTCAGAATTCTTAGGGCTTGGTTTATGCTTGACATGTATGCGTGGTCCACAGACCCAAATTGCTAATATTTGTAGCACCCACACCATTCTGCATGGTTGATTTTCCACACCATGCACCTTGTAAAAAAAGTTGTAGCTACCTGATACCAGTAAATAGCTCCACATGGAAAAGACAATGTCGATGTGCACTGGCGAGGGTATATTGAAATAAAAATCTGAAGACATTGTATAAGTTGGCCGATAGATATAAATTGAAAAAACAGATAAGAAAAACATATTTGAAAGAAATTACTATCATTCTTTGATAACTAGTAGAGGCTGTAAAAATGTTGGAAACAGCTTTGTTTTCTACTTCTACATTTTGTGTGGTGTTGTAAGCTTTTGGCCTGTAATGTAACTACCATCAGACAAAAAAATAAGGTACAGTGGAAAAAGCTTCCGGGCTACACAATGGAGCGGTCTATAGCATTGTTGCTTTACAGCATGAAGTTTCAGAGTTTGATTTGCGGCCCAGTACCTCTGGCATGCTCATGGTCCTGATGCAGTTTGCATATTCTTCTTGTCCATGTGTTGGTTCTCTACAGGTACCCCGGCCCACAGTCAAAAAACACGACTGTAAAGTTAATTGGCTTTTCTAAAATGTCCTTAGGTGTGAGTGTATGTGTGCATTGTATTGTGCCTCTCTGTTGCCCCTCAACAAACTGGCAACCTGTCCAGGGTATCCCCGGCATTTCACCAATAGACTGCCAGAAATAAGCACAGGTCCCACCACAACCCGTCAGAAAAAGAGGCAAAAGATGGATGGACCGATGGGGGAAAAGCTGCACAAAGCATAAAAGCTCTAGATGTTGTGTCGGTGTGTCATTACAGTCCGGAATGTAAGGCACGGCAAGTTTATTTGTATGGCACAGTTCAGCACAGACAAAATTAAAAGTGCTTTACACAATTTAAACAGAAAACGAATGAATTAATTTAAAATAAAAACATAATAAAAGTGGATAAGTAGAAATCAGTTGGACCACAACTTTAAAGTAATGAGACCTCAGTTGATAGTTTAACTTAAACAGTCAAAGGCAGCTCTAAAAAAAATGTTTTTTTAACTTTGATTAGAAGAACTCAGGCAATTTTCCAGTCTCCTAGAATTTTATTCCAAATTAGTGGAACGTAGGAACTAAATTCTGTGTCTCCATGTTTGGTTCTAGTTCTGGGTGAACAGAGTAGGCTTGAACTAGAAGACGTGAGTGGTGTGGGAGGTTGATACACTGACAACAAATCTGTTATGTATTGAGGTGCTCCATTCAGTGATTTATAGACTAACAGAAGGATTTTAAATTATATTCTCTGACTGACTTTTTATGCAAAACTGTGAAGGCACTGTTGCAGTAATTAATTAAATGAAATAAAAATGCATAAATTAGTTTTTCTAGATCCAGCTAGTCCTTAAATCCTGGAAATGTTTTTCAGGTGATAAAAGGCTGACTTAGAAACTGCCTTTATGTGCCTCTGAAGGTTCAGGTCTGAGTCCATCATGACACCAAGATTTTGGCCATAATCAGTGGTTTCTAGCTGTAGTAGCTGAAGCTGTGAGCAAACTCTGAATCTCTCTTCCTTTGGTCTGAAAATTATTACGTTGGTTTTGTTTTTATTCAGTTGGAGAAAATTACTGTATGGTGCATCCATGTATCGATCTGTTTTTAGCATCTAGCCAACGCTCTGATGGGTTCATAGTCACCTGGTGAAATTGTGATATAAAGCTGTGTGTCATCTGCTTAGTTATGGTAACTGATCTTGTGTGCTATAATCTGAGCTAAGGGGAGAATGTAGATGTTGAATAGGAGGGGCCCCAGAATGGAGCCTTGAGGAATCTGGTATGTTATTTTTCATGTGTCAATATTATCTGAGCCTTCATTCTATAACATTCATATTACCAACAAAATTGCAGCATCAAATACAAGAAAACAGATTTCCCCTTTCTAATGTGGATCCAATTTTTCTTTTGTCTTTTAAGTTTTTTATGTTTTCTGTTCACTATTTTCCACAGTCACACCCCATATTTCCCCCCACCTTGGAACATTAGCTTTTCTTCTACTTCTTGTTTGCCCTTGCCCTATCTCTGTTTTAAGAATGTGTGCATTCATAAGCAAGGCTTTCTGATGTGATTTATTTCAGGCCTTAACCTGTATATTAAATCAACAACTGTTATGTGCAAGTGAAATTACATATAATGGTTGCATAAATTTCTGTAGTATTAAGACTGTTAACTTAGAATGGTGAAATATATTGTATGTTTTAGAAAGAACTTTGAATCAAGCATAAATGGAGTAAAGTTGTCCCAACTTTCCAAAAAGCAAACAAATATTTGAGTATTTTGCTCTCTATTCTTGTGTACAGTCCACAAAGGATCATTCTCTTTTTCTTGAATTCTATGGAATGTGCTTTTTTGACTGTTTTCTAAAGACCTCTTCTTAGAGCTCAAATATTTGATCCTTATGTGAATTACTGTTGAATAGGGAGTGAGAGTGTTTCAGTGATAAATATTCTGTAATTGGACCTCAATTGAACTGGTGTACTTTCTTGCTTGATGTATGGAAAGTCCCATGATATTTGTTCAGCATAGTGATGCAGAAAAATAAAAAGGTTTATATGTTCCTTTTTAAATCGGCGGATCTTAATAATTAAAAATTGCAAATAAAATGAGCTGGTGCCTAAATCAACATTAGGTTTGAGATTGACCAAATGTAAAATTGTAAAAAATGTTTTTGAATGGTTTTAAAGGCTTATATCTAACAGTGAATGCTCAGTGAAATTGTATTTGTATCTTTCAATGAAAACAAATGACGATGCTTTCCCAGAAATACCTCATTTAATGCAATAAAAGAAGTACAGGCATACGTCAATGCCAAAGCCTGGATTAGATTTTGGATAATTAAGGGTTTGTCTTCTTTGTCTCCTTCATAGGGCAAACTTTGCAAGTTCCTAAAATACCTGAATGGTCCCAATAGAACTTTTTGTTTGGGCTGATTATACCCTCATCTGTATTACATTTCTCATGTATTTTCACTGTCTTTCCCTCCCTCTCTCATGTGTTACTCTGCCTGTCTCTTCACTCTCTCTTCATCGGTAGTGATTGGCTGGCTTTCTCTCCCCTCTTTTCCTGTATAAATCACTGCTGGGGGTGGAGATAAGTACAGCCTGCTGTTTAATACTGAAGGACGCCACTCTAAAAACTCCACTGTCCACGATCGCTCAGTGGCTTTCCTGCTGTCATTGAGAAAAAAACAAGTTGTGACTTTTGGATTCTTAGCGTTCCATCATGTGTAAAGGACTTGCAACCCTTCCTGCAACCTGCCTGAAAAGGTAAGCTCAGAGCAGTTAAACAGCAGAAGGATTTTTGCCTATGTAAACTAAGTCAAATATCATGTCTGCTCTTATTCTGTAACACTAGCTTTAACAAGACAGATCAAATATTTCAGTTTTTTTAAATAACTTTAATACAAAAAATGTTTTAATCTTGTTACAAATATTCTACCTTAGAATATTTAGATTTTTTTTGTTGCAAACAAATCAAAATGTTCAATATTCATGTCTCCTCAGCGCTAAAGATATCAAGCACAAAATAAGCTTCTTACTGCAGAAGCCTGAACCCCATGCTGCAGATCAGAAGGAGATAAAGGAAAAAAATGTGACGGCTGCTGTAAAGAGGTCAGAATAATGTTATATTTTGGTTATGTCTTTTACTTTTAATACTCTGGTGTTGTGATTTTTTTTATTTTGTCTTAAGAAAGAAAATAAATCCTAGTGATTTTTAATAAAATATAGATAAAACTGTATATTTGCACATGTTACAAAAATATTTATACAAATATCTTTCTAAAAGCAAACAGTGGAGATAAACATACAAGCAAACAAGAGCGTGCGTATTTTTGAAGCAGCATCTACAACAAGAATTGTGCTCAGTTTTAATCTAGGAAAATACTTGTTGATAGTGCATTAAGGCATCATTTTTCAAGGTTAGTTCTTATTACTTTTAATCATCATTGGTCTATTCCATCTTAGAGTAGTATGTTGTTTTTAAACACAATAAAAAAATAATAAAATAAACTTTGCTTTAACTGGATTTAAATGTGCTTTTGAACATTATGATTAATTCCTGCTTCTATGCTTGAAAAGGGTTGGTGGACCATTAGCTTTGAATTAACTTCTTAAAATGATGGAATCTTGGATTTCTTAAATAAATTAAAATATTTATTTCTATTTCTATTCTATTTGGGAAAGACAAATAGAATACAGATGGGTTGATTTATGTTCAAAGAGAATGTTTTGTGTTAAAGGGTTGTTGAAAACACCAACTTTTTCTCTTTTCTTCTGTAGCAGTTCGGACTAAAAATACTTCAAAATTTTTTTAATGATCTCTACTGTTTTTACTGAAAATATAAACTTAAACATGGAAAACCTGCGGAAATGCAGGTGTTGTTTTGACCCTGATCTGCCCGCAGGTGTAATTCCCATTACAAGCCTGTAATTGTCCTTTATGAGAAGGTGATGGCACTGACCTTTCCTTTTTAGGAATATATAACCCATCTGTTAAAGGTGACACATAATCAATACTTAGTTCAGAAAATTAATGTGCATAGAAATTAGGTTTCTTATTTCTTGATATAGCTGTTCTTCTCATGACCTTTATAGTTGCAAAGACCAGAAATTTTAGTGAGGCATTTTATTTCCATTATTTTCCATGGTGGAAAGGTCAGATGATGAACAGTGTAAACAGTAAATTGTGGATGAAATGTTCAGTAGTTTAATATTATCTTCTTCAAAACATGTTTTTTGGCAAAATTGCATAGTGAAAAATAAACCAACCTGTTAACATAACTTTTAGAATAACTTTTAGCTATTTTTTCAAGATGTTGTAAATAAGAAGATTAATCAAATTTAGTAAGCTGAAAAAACAGAAAATAAAAAAACATCAGAATCCCTAGGTCAGCCTTAGTAAACATATAAAATAAAAGCAGAAAATTATTATCTGTTTCTTTGTACATATAAATTCTAAAAAAAAAAAAAAAAAAAAATACATTTGTTGTTTCCAGGGTCCCTGATGCTACTGAAGTAGAGAAATGGAAGGAGTCGTTCAGTCATGTGATGAGCAGTGAACGTGAGTACATTACAGTTTCACATCAATACATATAAAAGATACTCAGGGAGAATCAGGCAAAGTCCAGGTAATGATAGAGATCTAAACCGGCCTGAAGCAACTTGATGACACCAGTTACACTGGTATTTACAGTCATGCTTGATTCAACGAGTTCTCAGCAAGAGGTCTCTTGGGGTTTATATACAAGAGGAAAGTATTTTATATAAACAACAGGATGGTTTTCATTAGACACAATAAGACTTCAGCAGTCATGGGAACATGATCAAACAAGAGCCAGACAAACACTTTACTCATTAATGGTCGTCAATAAGCTTTTCGAAGACTGCAATTTCCATGTGTTAAGGTTCGAACCGGAAAAAGGAACCTGAGAAGTGGGTAATTAACTTTTACCTTATCATGATTACCCATTAAGTGTCTCTTCCCGCAAATAATAATGCAACCCTGGAGATTTCTCTGGAAATAGAACTAAGGCAGATTTTGATAGTCTGAACAAACATGCAAATTAAGCACAAACACACAAAGGCGCTTCTCAGGCTCTGGGCTTTTGCTACGTGTCACAAGGCACTGCTGAGAGGCCCCTCAGGGCAATATGACCAGTGCAGAGGTTGTGTGTCTGCGTTGTGTGTGCTTGTATGTGTGTTTGCTAATCCAAGTCCTCTGAGAATCTTGCCGAGTGTATGGTAAAGACAGCAGAGCAATGACCTTGCGGGAACCAGCTGAGTTCTGACATGATGCATCCCATGAACTTAGTCATTGACCTCCAACATTGTCATTCCTTCTTTCCTCCTCCATCTGTCAGTTTCTAATGACCTGATCTTCTTTTGGAAGATTTTGTTTACCGTAATCAGTTTCCACTATCTATCATCTTAGTCTTGCGGAAGTTTGGATGAGCACAGCTGCATCCATTATGTTTTATGATATTATGTCTTTAGCTGAGGCTCCCGTCTATTTGTTCTGCAGTACTTTGTTACTCAAAGAATCAATCTTCTTTATTGTCTGATTACGTGGCCAATGGAACAATCTGCATTTATTTCTAAGAGAGATTAAAGAAATACTGTTGCAAATGTATTTCATTGTCTGAATACCAGTAAATAGAAATAAAAGAAAATATTGATTAAAAGAAGAATGATTATATTTATTTTGTTTTAATACAATTTATGTATACTATTAGTTAATTTTTGTTAATTATGGTGTTCAGATTTGAAAAATAGCAGCAGTTTTTTGTTGCCTTCCCACAAAAGTTGTTTCCAGAGTCATAAAGGAGTCCAACCCTTCACCTTGGGCGCTTTTGAAGTCAGACGATCTAGACTGTGGACGTTCGGCGCTCTGGTTGTTGAGCTCCTGTGCTCTTCCCCTTGCAATATAGAGAGTGGCTTTGCTTTATTTTGTTAGATGAATTGGAAAAAAAGTAATTTTAACATGTTTTTAAGCTACAAAGTATACCTAAAAACACCATCTGGGCAGTCAGTTCATCAGGATTATGATCCCTCTTAAATATTATTTGTTCGTAGTAGCAGACTAACATATACTAACGGGGGAAAGTGCTGTTTGCAGCACTTGAACGTGAATATAAAACATTTTTTAGGCTTGTGGTAAAAACTGCAATTACCATATTGTAAACTGGAATACTTTTGGCCTGCAGGTTTTGCCATTTTTAGTCGAGTTAGGTATTTATAAACAGTTTTGCCATATCTCAGTCATTAATCATAGGAGTTTAACCCCTTTATATATGTATATTCATTTTACAGACTTTTATGCTGACAGCCATGTCAATGCAATAACGACTTGCATGTCAGTCTCCCAGACAGCCCAGATTTAATTAGATCCCAGATCAGGGGATCTAAATAAATAATAAAAAATAAAAAATAATAAAAGTCAACGTTCTGCATCCAGCTACAAAAGTTTAGATTTCCCAGCTTCATGGCTGGCCTGCTCTAGAGGAGTGAAACGCCTGTTGAGCCAAAAGCATAGCACAAAACACACAGAAAGCTTGAAAACACCCAGCCATGATGGGTGTAATGCGCCACGACTGAACGACTCCTTCCATTTCGCCACAGTATTACTCTTTCAGATGATTCAAAAGTGTAAATTAAGGATGTAGGCCTGCAATTAACATCTTAATTATGATCAAGTCTTCAATATTTGATAGCCTCTGAATTTAAGTTACGGGTCTTAAGTAGCCTATATGAAGTTGAGAAAAATTTTACAAATTCTTTCTTAGTTCTTCTAGCTTTCAACAGACAAATTTATTTATTTATTTTTAGTTTTCATGGCATTAGTGGCTTGTTTTTTTCGACATTAGGCTGACAGGAAAGGGGGAATGATAGACGAGGAGGGACATGCGGCAAAGGAACACAGGCCGGATTCGAACCCGGGTCGTTTTAAAATTGACATTTAACACAATCATATATCACTATGTAAATGCTTTGAAAGCTTTATATAAAAGTACATTATCTTATTTTAGAAAAGTAGGGAAAACTTTGCTTTAGTTACAAAACAATAAAAGAAATGAAGAACTATTGAGTGTGTTTTTCTTTTCAAGCTTGGAGAAGAAGCAAAAAAAAAGATGATATTAATTTGTTTTTCACAATTCTTTAGTAAAAGTATATTTGATTTTATATAACTTTTTCTTTTTCCTTTTACTTCTAGTGGGTCGTACAGTCTTCACCACCTTCTTAAAGTCAGAGTTCAGCCAGGAAAATGTTTACTTCTGGATCGCTTGTGAGGACTATAAGAAGACGTCACCTTCCAAGCTGGCAACTAAAGCGAAGCAAATCTACCAGCAGTATGTTGATGCAGATGCTCCCAATGAGGTAAAGAAATTTATTCTAACAGATAAGACAACGCAAATGAATCAGATCACCTATTCATTTTTCATTTCATTTATTAATTGAGTATTAATAAATGAACACTTGATATCAAAAAGCAAAAAATAAAGGAGAGCTGAAAAAGAAAGAAAAATTCCTTCCTTGAAAAAACATAATAAGGCTGCCTGAGACATAACATGTAAATAATCTTAGTGAAATAACTTCTCTATTGTGCTTCTCCTTGTTCTTTTCTTTACTTTTTTTGAGTTTTCCAGTCATGTGTCAACATAGAATTCCCCCTTTGAACTCTCATCTGTTGCCACTGTTGCAAAAGGGAAACCAAAACACAAGTATAAAGCATTATCACATATGATTTACAGTTAAGCTAGAAAATTTTTTTTTTCTTGTATTACACCTAAAGGTAAAATAGGGAGACTGCTAATGCATTTTATTTCAGTATCTTGAACTTCTGTTTTTTCTTTCCTTTTCATTCATTAAAGGTAAACTTAGATGCAGCTACAAGAGAAAAGACAAGGCGGGGAATTGAGAGCGGCAGTCCATCTTGTTTTGACGAGGCTCAGAAGATGATCTACACTTTAATGGAGAAGGACTCTTACAGAAGGTTCTTAAAATCCAATCATATTCAGGATCTGTGTCAGAAAGAGAAGAATACTGCTCAAGAGAAAAAAGAATGTGATTGGGTTGATAGCCAGCAGGTGTTAGCTGGTGGGGCCTAAACTAGGAATGACAAGAAGATTTAAAGCAGGTGCCAAAGTTAGAAGGTGCAGCAGAGAAGTAGACTAAGAAGGACAAATAGCCAGAAAGAGTTTGACCTTAAGGGTGATTCCTATTTTGGATGACTTTTCTTTAACAAACTCAACTTGCTGTTATTTACTTGCAGAGTTTAGCTGTCATATATTCAATAAAAGTGTAATGTTTTCTATCTCTGAATACATTCTGTCGTGTTTTTCTGAATCAGAGAGGTTGATATGGAGAGACTTTGCATTATATTATAAAGAATGAAAGATGCAGTTTTCACAAATACAGTATGTGTTAAGTGAGGAAAATGAGAAAAAAGTAGGTTGTTTCCCAACCTACTTCCAGCCAACAGACAGGCTTAAGAAGCTTTAACTTAAAAAAGACCCTTGAACAAAGATTACAAAGAAGGGAAAGTTCCATTGACTGTTAAACTTGTCCATTTAATGTTCCCGTGTGGTCTTAAATGTCGTGAAACTTTGCGCTCAAAGTGAAAAACTTAATTCAGTGTTTAAAACTACCAAGACACTTCTCTGCACTTTCATTCTGACATTGAAACAGGAACAAAAATAAACTTTAATCTAAAAAGTGTGAACTACAGTCAATTGTTTTACAAGACTCACTTCAAATCCCCATCCAAACAATCATGAAGGCTAAATGCTGACAAACTCAATTCCCTTTCAAGCCTAAAAAAATAATATAATGGCTTTAGTTTGCTCATTTGTTAAGTCTGTTAAATTTTAGGGTTTTAATATATGGCAGAATCATTCTGAAAATGCAGCATAATAAAGGAGTTTGTCACACAGTGGAGTTTAAGCCTTTAAAAGTTTTCAAAAAGCTTTCCAAAAAGTTAAAACTCAATACCAAAGAAATCAAAGTTGCCAAAAATAAAAAAAAAGAAAGTGCAGATATTTTCCTTTGGGCTCTGTGCATTTTGATTCTTTTTCAAATACCCTGTCACAGCTCAAAATTATTAATAGATATAGAAGGAAATATTTATTTGGTTGGTACCTATTTACAAACCAAACAGTATTAAAACATGGATATATTGCTATAAAGCATAGTAACTGCGTTCTGTGAATAAAATAAACAGTCACCTGTTTTAAAATGAAATGTAGTTGTCAGGATGCACACAATAATCATTATTGTTAATATTATCAGTATAATTACTGGATGTACAATTAAAGCTTCCCATTTTTATGTAGTCTTTTTAAATATACCATCATTGTTTTTGAAAGCAAATGGATGTTCTAATGCCTCTTCTTATTGCTTTGAAAATATTCAACTTTAATAAATTACCAATCAGCTGTGCTGCATGAACATCTTGACATGATCTCTACACTGTGTCTAAATCTAGTGGGAATTATGTTTATGATTTAATATCTGATATAGTGATGTTTTATTGCATGCTATGTATGGAATAACATTTGTAATAAAGTTTACTAGTTAATTGTTTTTGTTAGTGCATTTAAAACTTTTTTATATAAGTCATACTGCTCTGTCTAAAATATTAGCAGGTGACTGAAATACAGAACTTTAAGGATAATTAAGTGGGGCGTTCAGAAGTGTGTTTCATTAAAATGTATACTGTGATTAACTGAAAAACAATTCATTGCATATCTTGATATTATTCAATGATGCTATTGCCCTATTTATGTCATGTCTATGATGGTTCAAAATTAAAGTTTGCTTCAAAAGTTGTGACGTTTTTGTGTTTTTAATAATTTTTTACACAAAACCCTTCTTTTTGTTGAATGACAATAAAGGCATTCAATGGTTTTGTTGGCCATGTCCTAGGCCACAAAAAAGATGTTCCTTGTATTCTTTATATACAGTGCTCAAATAAATAGATAGATAAAGGTAACATCAAATAACATTTCCTAGATCTGAATGAATAGAATATTCTTATCGTAAACTTCGTTCTCTATAAATTTGAATATGCTGACAACAAAATCACTCAAAACTCATCAATGGAAATAAAATGTATTAACCAATGGATGCCTGGATTTCTTGTCAGACACAAAATCTAAGTGTAAAAAACACACTACAGCCTGACCAAACTGTATTGTCCTTTAAACATTAAGGCTCAGTATTTTAGTAGTTTCCTGAGGGATCTTCTCCCAGACCTAGAATGAAGCATCCACCAACTCCTGTACAGACAGTGGCTCAACATGATGTTGGTGGATGGATCGAGACATGAAGTCCCAGATGTGTGTCAGATCCAGGTCTGTGGAACAGGAAGGCCAATCCATAGTTTCAATGCCTTCATCTTGAATGAATATCTGACACAATCCAACCACATGAGGTGTAGCATTGTCCTGCAATAGGAGGAACGTAGACAAACTGCACCATCACATGGTCTCATAAACAATCTGAGGATCTCATCCTCAGATCCTTTGGGAAATGGAGGAATGGTAGCCTAGGGGTTAGTGCAGTTCAGAGAAGGTTGCAAGTACCCGGTTTGATCCCCACAGCCTGCACTCTGGGTTTCTGAGCAAGACCCTTAACCCCACACTGCTCCCAGGGCACCACACAGTGGCAGCCCACTGCTCCCCAAGGGGATGGGTCAAATGCAGAGATGAATTTCTCCAGTGTGAGATTAATAAAGTTAAATTATTAGTATTATTATTATTATCTCTGTACCTAATAGCAATCATGGTACCTCTGGCGAGTACATGGAGGGCTGTGCAGCCACGGTGACTCTTAACTGTGTCACCATACTCTGCCACATCGTTACATATGTTCAGAGTGAACCTACTTTGATCTGTGAAGAACACGGGGCACCACTGACAAATTTGCCAACCTCTGGCAAATGGCAAGCATCCTGCAAAATGTTGGGCTGTGAGTGGATGTCAAGCCCTCATACCTTCCTCATGGAGTCAGTTTCTATCCTTTTCTACAGACACATGCACATTTGCAGGGCTGTGGCAGTACTCCTCCTGTTCCTCTTTGCACTAGGGTGGAGGTAGCGCTCTTAGGTTGCGACCCTCTCACGGCCTCCTCCATTTCTCCTGGCGTACTGGCCTGTCTCCTGGTATAATATTTGAACTTTTTTTAATCTCACACTGGAGAAATTCATTTCTGCATTTAACTCATCCCCTTGGGGAGCAGTGATGTGATGGTCCCCACTTGCAGAGCCACTTCTTTAGTGAGTATGACTTGTTAATTGGCAATAATTTTTACTTGTTATCTCTTTGCACAACAGCATGTAAAATTGATTTGTCAATAAGTGTTACTTACTAAGTTGAAATCTGCTTTATAATGAATTCATCATATTAGTCATAAATGTATTATTTATCCTAACCTAATTCATCCTAAACTACTCAGTTGCTTATAGAGAGTTTTTAATGCATATCAATAAATTAAAGTGGATTTGTGATAATACTCAAACAAAAAAGGATTGATGATCTGTTTTTAGTGGGTGTTAATGGACAAATGTAAAAAGTTCTTGTTGTATTACTGACAAAAAATGTTATTAAGCTGGATGTCTAATGTCATTAGGTTTCATAATCAAATTTACCAAAACCTATTCAGAAATTAGTTTGCCTCAGGAAAGTGTTGGAATATGAGACATATTGATGTTTTGAACAATTTATTTTCCATTAAGGTTTATGTTTGTATATGTGTCCAGTTTGATAAGTTTATATTCTCTGAATCCATTAGAAAGTCTGGGTCTTAACTGTTAACTTAAGAAATCCAAGATGTGAAAATGCAACTTTTTCCATAAAAAAACCTCAAAAACAAATATTTCTGCTTGGTGATCTTATTTATTCAGACTCTGTTTTACTGTTTAATTTGTTACACATGAGTTTAAACTTAAAAACTTTACATTACACAATTTCTTGATCATCATACAGTAATCACCTGTAATCAGCAGATCAATACTACAGAATATTCAGTAGAAACTCTGTAGTGGTTTCACATTACAGATCATTAACAAAATATTATATTATATGATAATGAACAGGGACGATTGAAAATAAATAACATAGTTTAGAATTGGACAAAACACTCATTCAACACTTATCTCATTTATATAAAAAAAAGTGTTTTTAATATTTTATTCATTAAAAAAAAAAAACATGGATAAAATCTGGTTTATATGACGTAACTGGTTGACCAATAATTCCTACGATCACGCTGTATTTCTATTGAAATTCTGTTTCCATGTTTCCTCCCTGTAGTTGAACAGCTTGAATGCATGGGGACAAAAACAGTTATTCAGTCTTTTATTCCTGGACTTTGGAATGAGCAGCCTCTGTTGGGCAGGGTTCTCTGGCGGCTGATGACAGTGTTTACACTCACAGTGTTAATGATAGTGTTTACAGATAAGTTGCATGAGCATCTTGATTTAGAGATCCATGTTACAACCTTATCAAAGATCCTTAGATTAAAAGTTTACAGAAGAATGTTTGTTATGTTCTTTACAAATCAACAAAACTTGTTGTGCACCACACATGAAATTCAAAAGCTTATCTCTTTTTATAACATGTTTGTATTCAAAATGACTTGCCCACAAAAGGTTGGATCTGTACAGTGTTCCTATTCACGCTCATGGCAGAGCTTCATGTCTTTTTAGGGAAAGCGACTTTGGTGGCACAACTCGTCACACCCTTTAGAGTAAATAACCTCAGCTGAATCTAATCTTCTGCATAGTTTAACAGTCAAGGAGTCTGAAAACATCCTTAAATATTTATCGCCATCTTATTTCAACAAGCAGCTGTGCTTCTCCAGTTCAAAAATAGAGCAAAACATGCCTAAGTTACTTCAGCAAACAAGTTATTTTCAAAAAAGTCAGCAATGCCTCTTTACTGGAGCTTAAAAGGTGGGCTTTCCTCCAAGTTTTTTACAACTGCTGAAAGGAAGCTATTTACTCTGTGTTGCACATCAATAGACACACCGCTCTGGTTATATTTATATAAAAATGTATCTCCTCAAAAATCGAATTAGTGTTACCTGGACAGATGTAGAAGTGTGTCCTTCTGATATGTTTCGCATTCACTTTTTACATCCACATACTCTCATATATTATGCATGCCTTTTTTCTAGGTAAAAGGCCAAAGTATTACAACTTTCCCTATCTCTTATGGGAATATGACAGGGTCTGCAACATAGTATTTCATTGTAATTGACAATCATCCGGGTGAGAAATAATGTTATAAAATGTGTTAAAAGAACATCTTAAATACAGAGAA